GAATTACCTGAACTTGTGTTGCCTCAACAAGATCCTTAATGGTGAAAACTGGCATTGCAATCCTTAATATTACTCAGAGCACTCAAAATAATTTTTAATTAAGTGAATTTCCTTTCAGTAAATCAATCACATTCAGCATTTGTTCAGTGCAAAGAACAGGAAGAAAAAAATGCTATCAAAAATCAACTTAATCCAATAAATGCATAAAAAAATAAATTCATGAATGTTTTTTTTTTCTTTCTGTAATTAACACTCCTTAGGCAATGCACAAGCCAATTATACTTTCCAATATGCCAGTTTTAGCTCCAGTAGATAACAGCTGTACCCGCCGATACTCCCTGCTCAGTGTATCGACAGTCACAGCATTACCTGTGGACCTCCAGATTAACCATTTACCTGTCGATTTTCTTACCTTACCAGCTCTCTGTCTATTAGGTGACACAGTGATTTCAAATTTCTGTTGCCCGGCCCCTTTCACCTGGGATATTAAGTAATCCATTAGCTCTGCCATGATGGGTCTTTAATGTTCAATCTTATGGTGTTTATTAAAAATTTTGCTAATGCCTTTTAAAGTTCCAACTTGTAATATAAACTGTATATTAACACTTTATTGATCTGATAATTGAAGAGTCTTGTTGTTGTTGGGGGTAAAGAAATGAATTCTGTGAAATGCTGAATAAATGGAAAACACCTGAAGTTCTCGGTATCAGTGTGGTGTGAATGTCAAATAATAACCGAAAGTTCAAGTCCAAAAATAATCACATCTGGAATCACAATAGTCCTGGGCATTAAGTTGAATTTAATAAAAATCCAATATTAAAATGGTATTCAGTAATTATAAAAAAAAAAACCCACTTCATATCACCTCTAAGGTTGAAAACACTTGGACTGGACTGGAAAATATCTTCAAAATCAGTCTTTAACTTTCAGACATGCATACAAGATATTCAGACCAGTTACACAGAAATCCACAAGAGAGCAACAGCACAGACAAATTATGGCAATAAAATGTGCATATATCCAGACAGGTATTATGGAGCTATACTATGTGTGCAGTCAGATACACACATCTTAAAGTCATATTCGGTGTTTGCCGATATTGCTTTGAACCTGTAACCCATGATCCTTTTGTTTCCACGTTATTAAAAAACGTCAGATAAATCTAATCTACAAGCCGTGAATCAATAGTCAGTATTCTTGTTGTAGGGCGTTAAACAAATTCAGCCTTATATCACCAAATCTTTCCTCTATACAATTCCTTATACACACCAAGTCATCAACTTTGATCCCGGTGCCAGATAAACATTTTGGAATTGCTAATCTAATTTTTATACCGGCCCACTAATTACAATAAATATTAATCCAGGCAGTACCCCTGTTGTTTAACTTTAGATTATATTCTTGGTTTTATATGATTGGTCAGTACTGCTAAGATTACTAGCTTTTTAACCTGGGTACAAGTCCTAAACAAACTGTGGTGGAAATTAACATGAAAGAATTAGGTGCAGTTGGTCATGCCTATATTTTTAACATGTTCAACATGTTCAAGGATAATTAGTCTTATTGTCTTATTGTTTACAGGTCTGCATTTACTACATGCATTCAAGTTTCTGCATGTCATTAGTCAATCACACAAAACTGAATGAGACAACCAGGTAATCAATGATTAACTAAGAATATAGTGGTATACTGTTGCCCTCAAGACTTCCTCAAGCTCCCAATTCTCCAAAACTGAACATTATATATCTTAAGTATGTTTTAATTTGTATATTCATGCTCATGCTAGTGTGTACATGTGTGTGTGTGTGTGTGGGGGGGGGGGGGATGTTAGGTTACTTTGATCTGTCAGAATAGACCTGAAAATATGTTTCTTAAATAGCAAAACATTACCATCAAATCCTTTAATTTACAGCATTCTTTTTTTCAATCAAAAAGTAATCTTAGAAGTTACTACAAGGTAGTATATGTTTTAAGACTACATGTATTTCCAATGATGAACGAAAATGTCAAATGTCCCAATTAAGTAAGAACTCTGCACAAATCCATAATTGTGAAGTGTGAACAGAATGCATGTTTTTTTTTTTTAATATATTTTGAGTGACAATAAACAATTTGACAACTCTTGCCTCTTGCAAATTATCCATGCACAGACAAGCTAATCACCAGTGTTTGACTCTTCTTTCATTTTCCACCAGGCTTTAACACAGAGGAAGATTTATGACACTTTTACATAACTACTGTCTCCTATCCCTTGTCTCGTATCAGTTATACTGTATGACAGAACAACAAAGAATCTCCCGTCATAAAGTGGACTCAAGAGATTTGTCCACCAAACTCTAACCAACAAATTAAACAGTTTTCATTTTAATTTCTGATAAGACCCTGGGCTGTTTTCTTGCTGGTTTGTTCAAATGTTTGCAGTGGGTTTACCATAATATTAATTTTCAAGGGTGTCATAAATTAAAAATTTGGATTCAGACCTATCAAATCTCTACCCCACAGTTGTTTTATGAGAAATTATTTGTGAATATTATGAAGCACCTAGGGAGTTTCTCACTAGATTGCTCCTTATCTCATGTATCAGCTTACTATGCTAGCTTCTTTGTTTTCAATTTATTTTTTTTAATTGAGATTTTGGTTTTTGGGAAAGGGGATTGGGGGTCAAAGCTTACAAAATACTGGAAAATGAGACCTGCTCCAAAACTTTTACCTCAACATTTATACAAAAATGTCACCTACAGCATTAGATTAGATACAGCATCCAAAGAAAATATAGGTCAGTTACAGCATCCAAAGAAATTATAGGTCAGCTACAGCAGCCAAAGAAAATATAGGTCAGATACAGCATCCAAAGAATATATAGGTCAGCCTATGTAAAACTTTGATCGCAGACTGTTGGGGGGGGGGGGGGGATCTGAATCTACATTATCTGAGGATGCTTTCATATAAATTTGACTAATCATGGCTTTGCTGTTCTTGAGAAGAAGACTTTTAAAGATTTTTTTCAATGTGAAACTTTGATCGCCCATTGTGGCCCAACCCTACCCTCAAGGGTCATGATTTGAACAAATTTGAATCTACACTACCAGAGGATGCTTCCATATAAATATGGAAATATAAATATGATCACCCACTGTGGCTCCACCCTACCCAGGAGGTCATGATTTGAACAAACTTGAATTTACACTACCCAAGGATGCTTCCATATGAATATGACCAATAATGGCTTTGCTGTTCTTGAGAAGAAGATTTTTAAAGATTTTTCCTATGTATACCTATGTAAAACTTTGATCACCCATTGTGGCCCCACCCTACTCCTGGGGATCATGATTTGAACAAATCTGAATCTATACTTTCTCACAATGATTCCACATAAGTTTCATATTTTCTTGCACAATGGTTCCTGAGAAGAAGATTTTTAAATGATGCCATTAATTTTTCACAAATTCGTAATTATCTCCCCTTGGAAGAAGACATTGTCCTTCATTTGAACAATTTTAAATTCCCTTTACCCAAGGATACTTTGTGGCAAGTTTGGTAAAATTGGCCCAGTGGTTCTTGAGAAAAAGATGAAAATGTGAAAAAGATGAAAATGTAAAAAAAAGTTTACAACAACAATGGCGAAGACAACAGACAACGGACAAATTTTGATCAGAAAAGCTCACTTGAGCCTTCTGCTAAGGTGAGCTAAAAACCTTGCAAATTGCAAATCTAATAGTTTGAAATACCTTTTTTAAGCATACATGATAATTATAGCAAGCACAACGAGTAGTGCGAAGTGCTGCTCGCAAAGCGAGCTCAATAGACTATCATGTAAAAACAGAGGAAATTTGGAATGGAATCTGTACATACGTCAGGCAAATTTTCTTGTAAAACATTCCCAGAACTCCATTGCTACCAGGGTTCCATGCAAAATTATTACAAAACATACAAAAGACCAAGAATAATTGTTCCTGACCAAGACATATGTTTACATTTATTTCTTTGCAGATAGCTTAAACATGTTAAAAGAAACAAAAAAAAACTGCATCTACTCTACAAGGTATTTCATTTATTTTTGCACAAGAACTGTAGTCTCGTTCAACCAGCCGGACATTCGGCTATCTCCGTTTATTCTGATGTCATGTGACGTCACAGTCTAGACTGTGTCTCGTCGATTTGAAGTTTGAAGAGGTGGATCGACGTTACAAGTGTAAACTGTGTATATAGGTTTTTGATGGTACAAATGCACTTGGCGCTTGCCCTAACAGTCACATCGTAAAACATATTAATTTCTACAACCTTAGAACTGTAATGTCTGTTGAAAGCAAGCGCAGTGATCAGCGCTGCTCAATACTGCGAGCTTTTACCACAATGCCTGGGTAAAACAGAAATTTGAACCGTGCACATTGATCATGTTGATCGAAATGATTTTTTTCCCACAGTAACCTTGAGACCCATGATGCAATCCAAATGCATCTTGCAGCTAACTACATTCTTGAAGTAAGAACAAAGAGTCATCCAAAAATAAACTGATTTAATGGATATTGCAGTAAAATAGTAGGTTAAAAACATTCTTTGTGAAAATTTTGAACTTTTCAGATTTTGTTATGGAAATGCAACTATAAAATACAATGTTATGTGACGTCATAGTCTTAGACATTCCAAATGCCCCGTGTGGTTTTTAAGAGGTGGAAGTAATAATTTAAAAGTGAAAAAGTTGGCTAACCAGTAGGCCTACTACACAACTGCGCTCGCCCCAACAGTCGCACTGTCAAAAAACATAGCACATACTATATTTCAAATGTGCTGTGGACAATTTCTTCTTAAAATGAACAAAACTAAATAACTTATTAATCTATTTTAAAAGCTAAACTAATGTGAGGGAAACTGAAGAGGGAATTCGGAATAGGACTTTTAAAAAGATCGACATGAATGGACCTGACATGTTTGTGATTTGCATCCTCAAAAACATAAAGGAGGTAGACAATGTTATTATTTCCTTATCGTTAAGCACTCACTGTATTGTATGAGTCTTCCATTCTGTTCTTTTGAAGAAATGATCTATTCTCAAGAGAAACAGAGCACACAACTTTGGATGTAAACAAATCAAACGGCCATCACAACATCCGGGAAACTCCCGCCGAACATTCAAAGAAAGAGGGCTTTTCATTGGTTGATAGAAATAAATTTCAATTTCTTTGATTTTTTAAAAGTTTAATATACATTTACTAATGATTTCTTTGGAAGGTGCACAATTTGTTTAAGGCTTGATTTAAAATAATTATATTTTAAAATATCCCAACTTCCGGTCAAGACCGATACTTCCGGTGTATAATTATCTCAAGTTCAGATACAGAAGACCGTGAAGTAGCTGTTAAGATTCTTTTGCTGGGCGACTGGTTGTTGTTATGGCTGCATTGTTCGCCTGCACAAAATGTCATAAAAGACATCCTTTCGAGGAACTGTCTTCAAGTGAACAATTATGTAAAGTAGGTTTACTAATCAACCCTAAAGCATGTGAAGTCATTTTGTTCAGATTACAAGAGCTTAAAACGAAGAAAAAATGAATGAATGAATAAACGAAAAAGAAATAAGTGAGATACAACAAACAAAATTGTTCAGATTCAATATTGTTAAGTTAATAATTTTAGGGTACACAGTTTGTTTTTAAGCTTTTTTAATATTCATACATGCAAAAAGGCATTTGTGTATTGACGATACATAGAATTCTTATTTTCTTTACCAACAGAACTAACCTTGCTTAAAATAATATCCTATATTAGTTGTAATATCTTGTTGACATGGATTGACCTGAACTGTTAACTATTTAAAAGAAAAAAACTGGTATACAAACCCCACATTTTCATGTGTAATGGTTTGGGCCGTGGATATCAGCTTGGGTAGCTCAGTCAGGAGAGGGCCTGAATAATGATGCAGGGGTCCTGGGTTCAATTTCTGACCCAGCCATACATTTTCTCTTTGCCTTTTACACATGTAAAATATTATTTTCATATAATTGACACTAATTCTGTGTTTTGTAGGATTGCAGAAACCATTACCCTGTCGTGAAGTGTACCTACTGTAGAGGAGAATTTCAACAGGAAGAGTAAGATTAAAGATTGCTATTAAGTTAACTTTGTAGTTTGTACATTCAACTCAATCACTTGTAATGGTAAAAGTGTTGAAGTGAGCAAAATTTTCCCTGTGTAATAATTGGTGAATTCTATATGTCTGAATGATGGATCTGCCATTTCCATTTGCATACTGCATTTCAATTAATCTCTTGTAGGCAGTGGCCTGCCTAACTGATAGCATTTTTTTTCACTTGATTCAATTTTATGCCTAATTAAAAGAGTATTTTATTATGGTGAATTTTTTTTTAACACATCCCATCCCTTGGGACAAAGATAATGAACTTCTCAGACAATGCTGACAAAACTGGGAAAAGCTGTAGAAATGTGTTAATGATGAAAAAATGACATCTTGTACAAAGTCATTTTTTCATGTTTATTGAGGATGCATACATAAGTTTTTGATAGAGAATCCTTATAATTCTTTTTTGTAAGTCTTTTAAAGTAAGTAATTGATACGCTTTAGCCACCATATTGCTATGCATGCAAAAAGGGTTGGGAGTTTTAGAATTTGTTCACATGGACTCGTAAAAATTTCTTTGAACACTTTATTAAGTTTATTGTATAGATTTCAACCTGAATTTCCTCTCTCTGTATATGTTACCCTTATAGCTCGCTGCACTCACTATAATTTATTTTTGATACCAGTAGTGACATTTACATGAAAGGAATGGGTGTAATCTTTTTCAATAAAGATATTCTTTGAAGAAGTTAATCATGATAGGTCTCAGCTTAAGCAAAGTGTTTTTATTCTTAAAGTTTATGTCTATTAGATTTTCTAGCTTGTCTTCAACAGCAAATGTTTACAAGTCAGATAAAAGAGTGTAATTTATTACACAATGATTTCATTGGTAAACTTTTCAATTGACTGCATGCAGTATTAATGTGTCATTGCTTTATGCATTTCAGGAAAGGAAGCATAAATTCTATATGCAAGAAATGTGCACAAAATGTTAAGCTTTACGGAAAGGTAAGGATTGTGTAAATTAGATTTAATTCAAAAGTTTTAAATATATTTAAGCCATTAACTTCTGGCTCCAGGGCCATAAAACTTAGACGAGCTCACCTTTGATTCTCAGTCTCACTTGTTAAATTGTGTCTGAAATCAAAAGTGAGATTGTCTCTGTTTTATGACACAGGAGTCTGAATGGTTAGTGCTAGGGCTTACATATATATTTAACATAGTTGTATATTCATTGGGACAAAACTTTTCTTTGGGTACCGTCATTTTTGACTTGGGACTTGAAACCCAAAATTCTGATATTTTTTATTTTTTTTTTTTATAATGTTATATCAACAATTTTTTATGTTACACATATTGAAGTTTAAAAACTGTTGAAATATTGTTGTTAAGAAGTACATGTACTGTTGAATTATTGTCGTTAAGAAGTACATGGACTCCTTTTGTGTTTTACAGCCCACTGTGTGTGAATATTGTAACATAGTAGCAGCGTTTATAGGAAACAGATGTCAGCGGTGTACTAACGCAGAAAGAAAGTGGGGGCCACCCTCAACATGTGAACAGTGCAAACAGAAATGTGCATTCGATAGAAATGATGGAAGCAGGAAAAAGGTTGGCATTTCACGTCCATGTTGTTGATAACAAATCTACAAGTTTGAATTATCTTGACACTTCAGTGTTTAAGCAAGTTACGAAATCAGGCATGGATTAGGCCTCATTGTCTTTAATTTATTTATATTAAGTAGATAATGAGCTAATAGTGCTATGCAGTATTGCCGATAATTTTTGGTGAATAACAGTTCAGGTTCGATATTCTGTAAAATGTAACAAAAAGAGTTACTTGCCCTTGTTCAGATAAAATATGCAGCAAACGAAAGTGGAATTGATTAGAAACAAAAAGAGAAAAGCTGCTACATAAAACAACTTCCAAGTTAAAGCTTATGTGACAACTGCAGTGAGGCTTTAAATATATCTGTGGTACAACAAACTCAGCTAGACACATGTGCCAACACCATGCAGCCTAGCAATGTTGATATTAACTCCTAAATACCATATTTGCGTTTGTGTTTAATAAAAGAAAAAAAAGTGAATATGAAATTCATATTGTGACGTATTGCAATACAATATTAAATATTGCATTATATCACAATACAATTTTTCAGTCGTAATATCCAGTACTATAAGCTAGCTGTTTAATGTGATGCACAAAGAAGTTATTTTTACACACATGCTGAGATCTGACTGTAGTATGTATTTAAACAATAGAATGCTTTCTTTAGTTATTAACTGGTTATGTAAATTTTTTTCTGCAATAGCTGCGACGTTAATTCTCGTACTGACAACCAAAGAAAGACATTGTTTGTATTTACATCTGTATAAATAATCATTTAAAGTAGGATTAAAAAGATTAATTATTGTATTATTGATATGTACGTCATAGTCATAGTAGGTTTCATTGATGGAACAGCCACTGATCAAGAAATCTGTACAGGTGATATGCCTGGTGTTGTTCATGAACTGAGAAACAGCATTGGTTTTCTATAGAAATAAAGGAGAAAATATACAGTGGATGTAAATATGCTTAAATCTATAAATGTCAAGAAATTTGATAAAAATCTACCTTTTCCTTGAAATTTTTCTGACAGGTTGATGGAAAGCTTCTCTGCTGGTTGTGTACTTTAGCGTATAAACGGGTACTAGCCAAAGCAAGATTACGAGAGGAGGAAGCTAGAAAAAGTATGGGATCAACACAACAGAAGCCTGTAGAAGAAAAAGTTGACAAAATTGACAAGTTTGATAGCATAATGAATATTAAACCAGAAGACTCAAAATATGAAAATGTTGGAAGTGTCAGTAGTCGTCATAGTAACGGTAGTCAAGGAGACCAGGAAAAATCTGATTTTCCAGAGGAAGGTGTAGATTTGCCAAACAGCAGTAGTGGTGGTAGCCATAGCCACAGTCATCGCCACAAACATCATAAACACCACAGAGACCACCACAGAAGGTCTCATAGTCGCCACAAACACCACCATAAACACAAGTAAGTATAGTTGTAAACACCACATAGACCACCACGTCACATAGTTACCACACACAAGTAAGTATAGTTATGTACACCACAGAGACCACCACAGAAGGTCTCATAGTCACCATAAACATCACCATAAACATAAGTAAGTATAATTATAAACAGCACATAGACCATCACAAGTGGTCACATATTCTCCACAAACACCACTATAATAAACACAAGTAATTATAGTTAACAATTTAAGGAAATACGCAACGTACCTTACCTACTGATAATTTTTCAAGATATTCTTAATTTAAGGCAATACTGTCATCAGATGTTCGTAGACAAAAAATCAGCCTTCATTACCAGAGGTTTTGAAAAGATATCAATTGATGAAAATTCTTGTATAATTCAAAGAAAAATATACAAAAATTACTAAACATATATTCTAGATGTTTTGTTTATCCAAACTTGTTTCAGAAGAAGTGTACAACAGCATATATAGAAATTAAAATGTAGCACACAGTTCCTTTAAGTATTGGAACTCTTCAACTCCAGGGAAAAAGACAATAAAGTTCAAACTACGTTGCGTATGTCCTTAAGTAGATACATGTACACTGTAATTCCTAAACATCTTTGTCTTTGTCTGTGATATTGATTATAGAGTTTAAGTAGTGATAACCATTTGTGTGTTCCAGATCTAGTGAACCCAATACTCCATCTGATACCCCACCAAACAAAGTATCTCGACTGGACTCTAAAAATAATGCCAACGGATTAACACCCACAAAGAGGTAAGACAGAATTAATCTATAATTCAACAGGGGATTGATTTTGTGAGTATGTAAAAAACAAGGCAACTAGTGTCTATTGTTTGTTTTCACAAGTACAAGAAACTAGTGCTTTATGGTAAATTTCTATAGAAAGAATCCTTGGGGGTGCTCTTGTCTAATGGTGCTTAAAACATTGGCTGTCTTCAAATTACAAATCATAAAAAAGGGAGAAAACTGAAAAAAGAAAAATAAGCAGAAAAAATGAATTTATTTTTAGTTCAGGGCTAAGTAGTATGTCCTTGTCCATCCTGAACACAAGCGCAATGGAGAAAACAGTGGAGGATCCCCACAGTTCTGAACACCTGATCGCCCTGCAGCAGTTACAGGAGCAACTGGACGCCGCCAAAAAACAGATACAAAATAGAGACCAGCAACTCCTGGAGAAAGACAAAAAGGTAAATATTGTAATGTAAAGGTAATCTAATATTACAAAGATAAGATATGCAGAATGGAGACCAGTAACTCATGGAGAAAGATAAAAAAGTATAGATTGTAATGTAAAGGTAAACCACATGTAACTTAGTAAAAGTAACAGATACAGAATGTAGACAGCAACAAGGACAAGAAGGTAAAGGTGATATTGTAGAGGTAAACTATCATTGTGAAGGTAACGGATGTAGAAAAGAGACAGCTCCTGGAGAAACTGCTAAAGAAGGGCTACAGACTTGTAGAAAAAATTCTGAAAAAAATGATTACTGGGAGAGTGTGAAGAAGCCAAGCATGAGAGACTGAATGTAATGGGCTTTTTAAGCTCTGTAGAAATATTTTTTTTTTTTTTCAGATCACAGAGTTGAAGGCACAGTCCTATGAGATGGAGAAAGAATACAGAATTAAACAACAGACAATGCAGAAACAACACACTGAGTCCCTGGAAGCTCTTCAAGTAAGTGTTGAGTCTGTTGAAGGGGAGGGATTCAAGGTCATGTTAAATGGAATTCAACGTTTTGTGTCACTGAGTCATTTAAGCATTGAATTGTAAATTTTGGATGTTCGATGTATCATCACACTGACAGCTTTGCAAACAAATTGAATAACGCAAGTAATGAAAATTTGTCTGCACAGCCTGGCTTGTTATGACGTCAACTTTGAATGTCAAAATTAACAGTTGAGTGCCTATATTTACATTCATTGGCTTCTTGGTAGATTCATAAAATATGGCTCCTTTGAATACATTAAACCCTATTAAATGACACAAATTGCATTTGTTTAATTAAGGGAGCAGCCATTGCTGTTCAATGTGATGCCAAAATAAATTCATTACTTTAACCTTTTGACCTCCTCATCCATGTTATGGTGTTTTGAATACCAGAGCTTTCAACATACTTTAGGAATATACATATGGAATGTAAATATAAGATTTTAATCATTTCTCTTTCACTTCTTTGAACAATAATCGGTAACTTGTTACATGTATATTGTTAACTATTATTGAGCATGACAGACTATAGGTACCTATTGCTTTAGATCTATGTACATTTTTATTTGCAGACAAAGAATCGAGAACTGATGAAGCAGTTGGCCAGTGTGAAGACAAAAGGAAAGAGTAGGAGCTCCACTGCCAGTCCCAATGTGGTGACTTAATGTGGCATGTGGTGGGTACAGGTGGAGAGAGAGTAAGGAGAGATAAAACATGTTACCACAAGCCCCAGAATAGATTGCTGAAAGTGTGAGGAGGATCTGAAGGGGTGGAGAGTAATTCAGTTTAAGATGTGTGTTGAGAAATGATAGATGTTTAAATGTACATCCACACTGAAACTAACTGAAACTGGCATTTTAGGTCTTTTTGTAACAATTTCTGTATTGTTTTTGAAAATTCCAGCTGGAAAACTTTCAGTAAGGTTCCTGACTTAAGAACCTATGATTTGGCAAGGAAACCTTAAACATGTTTAAATCTTTTTTTTTCAAGGATTTATATAGCTGATATTACTCAAACATAAATATTTAGATCCCTGTCTTCAAATAAGATATCAATAGTATTGGTACATGTATGGTGCCTGTATCAAGTCCTCAGTTTATTGATGGTTGACATAAAGATCTGACTTCTGTTTTCTAATACTTGTACAGAATGTGTTGTGGAATTAAGCTTGGTGTTGCTTTGTCAGAGGTTGTAAAGTAAAATTTTTAGCAGTAAAAGAAATTCAGTCGTGCTTTCTCAAAGCTTATTATGATTGACTTCCAGTTAATGAACACAGGTTCAGAGACTTGTAATCAAACAATTTTTATTAAACCTTATTGCAATTCTTTGTTCGTTATACGAAAGTTTTATCATCATCAACATTGTATAAATGGATCATTTTATCTCTAAAGCCAATCCTGACAACTGTTCCTATTCTTGTGACATGTCTTTTAGAGTTAGTACTTGTCCGTAACCTAAACCCTACCTCCTGTAACAGCCTGTCGTTTTTACATGTTTGAGTACAATTCATAGTTACACATTTACATATTTAGCTCTTCTGGGCCAAAGGCTCAAAGAGCTTATGCTATGGCCATTTGTGCAGTGTGCGTAAACTTTTTAGAATAGAGGCCATAACTCAAGAACCCCTTGGCCAATTATTGTCAAATTTGTCACAGGGTATCCTTGGCCCAAGGGCTCCCTTTTACACTAAAACTAGGGTTGTGACCCTTAAAGAAGGGGAGATAATTAGGAAAATAGAAACAAATGTTGCTAAAAAAATCTTCTCAAGAACCACTAGGCAGATTATCACTAAACTTACACAAAAGGATGAGGATATGTTGTAGATTAAAATTTGCATGAGGATTTACCCTGGAGCAAAGGGTGTGGTCTCAAGGTCACTTCAAAGTTGACCAAAAATTACATTTTATTAAAATGTTGATATTTTGCTTACTATAAGGACTAGGATCATCAAATCTTTTCAGTTGATGCATCTAAGGACCTCATATCATGTTGACTCAAAAGTAGGTCACGGCGACCTACTTTTTAAATTTTGCGGCCATTCTTTTCAAAATGATTTAGAGGCATATTTTGAACAATTTAAGGCTTATGATCATCAAACTTTGTCAGTTGATGTATCTTGGGTCCTCGAAGTACGTCAACTAAAAAGTAGGTCACCTTGACCTACTTTTTGAACTTTATGGCTAATCTTTTTCAAAACAATTAAGGTCATTAATTTGAATACCGAAAGGTTTAGAATCATTAAATCTTGTAAGATGATGCATCTTGGGGCCATAAAACATATTTATTAAAAAGTAGGTCACAGTGACCTACTTTTTGAACTTTGCAGGCATTCGATTTCAAAGCGTTTTAGAGGCATAATTTGAACATTTTCAGGCCTATGATCATAAAACTTTGTAAGTTGATGCATCTTGGGTCCTCAAAAAAGGTCAACTGAAAAGTAGGTCACCATGACCTACTTTTCAATTTATATGACTATAATTAATTATTTCAGGTACTAATTGGCTTAGAATCATCAAACTTTGTCAGTTGATGCATCTTGTGTCTTCGGAGTAGGTCGACTGAAAAGTAGGTCACCATGACCCACTTTTGAAAATCTATGGCTTTAACTAAATATTTCAGGTACTTACTGGCTTAGAATCATCAAACTTTGTCAGTTGATGCATCTTGGGTCTTCGGAGTAGGTTGACTAAAAAGTAGGTCACCTTGACCTACTTTTGAAAATTTATGGCTTTAATTAAATATTTCGGGTACTAATTGGCTTACAATCTTCAAACTTTGTCAGTTGATGCATCTTGGGTCCTCAAAGTACAACAACTGAAATGTAGGTCACCGTGACCTACTTTTGAAAATTTATGGCTTTAATTTAATATTTTGGGTACTTATTGGCTTAGAATCATCAAACTTTGTCAGTTGATGCATCTTGGGACCTTGGAGTACAACAACTGAAAAATAGGTCACTTTGACCTACTTTTGAAATTTTATGGCTGTATTTAATATTTTCAGGTAATATTTGATTAGAATCATCAAAATTTGTCAGTTGATGCATCTTGGGTCCTCAGAGTAGGTTGACTGGAAAATAGGTCACCATGACCTACTTATGAAAATTTATGGCTTTAATTAAATATTTTGGGTACTAATTGGCTTAGAATCATCAAACTTTGTCAGTCGATGTATCTTGGGTCCTTGAGTACAACAGCTAAAAAGTAGGTCACCGTGACCTACTTTTGAAGATTTATGGCTTTAATTAAATATTTCAGGTACTAATTGGCTTAGAATCATCAAACTTTGTCAGTTGATGCATCTTGGGTCCTTGGAGTACAACAACTGAAATGTAGGTCACTTTGACCTACTTATAAGATTTTATGGTTATAATTTCAAAAAATATTTTAGGTATTTATTGGCTTAGAATCATCAAACTTAGTTGATGGGTCCTCAGAGAATGACAAGTGATAAGTAGGTCACCATGACCAACTCTCAGGTACTAGTTGGCTTAGAATCATCTTGGGATCTCAGAGTGTGAATTGGAATTTCAAGGGTTTATATAAATATACAGGATACTTTGAGGCTTCAAACAGAAGTGATAGGTTGTACAGTTTATCAGAAGAGCGATTAAAGGCCCTTGGGCCTCTTGTTTACATGTGTGAGTACAATTCATAGTTACATCTAGAATTTGTTACATGTGTGAGTACAGTTCATAGTCACATCTACATTTTTTACATGTATGAGTACAATTCATAGTTACATCTACATGTATTTATGTGATCCTAAAATCATTATTTTAAATCTGCTTTCGATGACACATGTAGTTTAAAAATGCTTTAGAATGTTTTCTGAACTATGAATGTTGCCAGTTAGTTATTTATCAGGTAACACAACTTTATGCAGCATAGTCCTGATTTCTTCTGACAAGCCAGGCAGGGTACTGTATTAAATGATGCTCGGATGACTTCCAGTATATGTGTAAATCAGTTAATATGTTTGTGTATAAATCAGTGTTACATACATCACTGTATATATAGAATTTAATGATGTCACCAAACTTTGAAGTTGAAATCAAAGTATATGTGAGTGTAAATGTTTGCCATCATTAATTGCTGTTGCCTCAGAGATCACTTTAAAAAATAGCATGGTTTTCAAACTAGTTGTATACCTGTGCCAACATGACATTTTATATGCATGGCCCAGCCTTTGTATTTACCTTTGCTTGTTTTTACAAATCTGTCTCAAGCAGGAACTTTATGTAAATGTGAACACTTGCGTGTATACTTGTTACATACCAGAATTTTCACAGATTTAAACAATAATATCCTGTGCACATCTGTATGTTTATCAATATGTTTCAAATTTAGATTTAGCAAGAAGAAAACTTTACAAAATATGTACATTCAATTTGTATGTATTTAAAGGAGTAACTTATTTTAAATATTGCAGAGATCTATAAAGGTTAACCATGCACATTGCAAATGCATTATATCATAATGTATTTTAAAAAAATAGAATATTTGTGTAAGTGAAATAATTTTTTCATTACAGTAAGTTTCCTAGAGCTGTATTCAAAATATTCAGGTGTGCTGATAGTGTTCATTTCATAGATCACATTTGAAGTGTTTATGCCTTTTCTGAAAATAAATTTTCAGGCAAGTGCTTTGTAAGATAGTAAATACATGTATGTGCAATTCTGTAAAATACTGTTATTACTTATTTTATGTGTATGACTTTTATTATGTCTTACAGTTTTATGAAAAACACCTTAGTTTTAAAGCCCTTTTTAGCTCACCTCGACGAAGTCGAGATGAGCTTATGCTATACCCCCGGCGTCGGCGTCGGCGTCGGTGTCGGCGTCGGCGTTAGCGTCGGCGTCCCAGGTTAAAGTTTTAGGAGCAAGTCCCATTCCCAAGTAACTATAAGCCCTACCTGGACCAAACTTACATGGATGATGCATCTAGGGATGGACATGGCCACACTTGCTTCGGATGCTGGATCTGACCTAGATTTTCCAGATGAGTGACCAGGTTAAAGTTTTAGGAGCAGGTCCATTCCTAAGTAACTATAAGCCCTACCTGGATCAAACTTGCATGGATGATGCATCTAGGGATGGACACTACCAAACTTGCTTCGGATGCTGGATCTGACCTAGATTTTCCAGATGAGTGACCAGGTTAAAGTTTTAGGAGCAGATCCATTCCCAAGTACCTATAAGCCCTACCTGGACCAAACTTTCATGGATGATGCATCTAGGGATGGACATGGCCACACTTGCTTCGGATGCTGGATCTGACCTAGATTTTCCAGATGAGTGACCAGGTTAAAGTTTTAGGAGCAGGTCCATTCCCAAGTAACTATAAGCCCTACCTTGACCAAACTTTCATGGATGATGCATCTAGGGTTGGACACTACCACACTTGCTTCGGATGCTGGATCTGACCTAGATTTTCCAGATGAGTGACCAGGTTTAGATTTAGGAGTACTCTCGTTCCCAAGTAACTATAAGCCGTACCTTGACCAATCTTGCATGGATGATGCATCTAGAGATGGACATGGCCACACTTGCTTCGGATGCTGGATCTGACCTAGATTTTCCTGATGAGTGACCAGGTTAAAGTTTTAGGAGTAGGTCCATTCCCAAGTACCTTTAAGCCCTACCTGGACCAAACTTGCATGGATGATGCATCTAGGGATGGACATGGCCACACTTGCTTTGGATGCTGGATCTGACCTAGATTTTCCAGATGAGTGACCAGGTTAAAGTTTTAGGAGCAGGTCCATTCCCAAGTAACTATAAGCCCTACCTGGACCAAACTTGTATGGATGATGCATCTAGGGATGGACACTACCACACTTGCTTCGGATGCTGGATCTGACCTAGATTTTCCAGATGAGTGACCAGGTTAAAGTTTTGGAGCAGGTCCATTCCCAAGTAACTATAAGTCCTACCCGGACCAAACTTGCATGGATGATGCATCCAGGGATGGACACTACCACACTTGCTTCGGATGCTGGATCTGACCTAGATTTTCCACATGTGAGACCAGGTTTAGATTTAGGAGTAGTCTCGTTCCCAAGTAACTATAAGCCCTACCTGGACCAAACTTTCATGGATGATGCATCTAGGGATGTACACTAACCAACCTGCTTTGAATGCTGGATCTGACCTAGATTTTCCACATGAGTGAATTTTAGCCATATTTTAACCAAATTAGCATGGATGATGTATCTAGGGATGGACACTTCCAGACTTGCCTTGGATTCTGAATCTGACATACATTTTCCAGATGAGTGACCAGGGTAATATTTTTGAAGTAGCTATATAATATTATGGCCTGTTATGATTAAACTTGCATAGATGGTGCATCTAAGGATGAAAACTTCCAGACTTGCTTTGGATGTTGGAACTGACCAAAATTTTCTTGATTACTAAACAGGTCAAAAGTTTTTTGAGCAGGTCTATAATTAAATCAAACTTGCATGGATATTGATCTTGGGATGTACCCTAACTAGAAAAAAAATATGTGAAATTTGCCTTACATGTAGATAACATTCGTCGAGGTGAGCTTCGTAATCTTTGATTACCTATGTTTTTTGTTTAAGGGCTTCCCTATAGCATTGTATAAACCTAGATCACTCGAAAAATATGGGTGGGTGGATGTGTTTATGTACATAGATAAAGGTGTAAAAATGGGCATTGCTGTTTTTGCTGAAAGTGTGTATCATATTTTTGATAATGAAATTGAATAATTATGATGACCGTTGGATGGTTTTATGTCTATGTAAGTAGGTTTGTATGCTGGAAAAAAAATCCTATCTAGAGCTGCAATCTTTTGACTTGATCGCAATTTTGCATAATTTTAAATCTTTGGTTTCATGTCTAAATGAAGAAAAGTATTTATTCGTTTTATTTTTAATATTAAGACAAGCCTATGTTCTGATAATTTATCTCATTTACAATCAAGTCATATACTGATTGATGTTTGGCCACTGTCATCAAAGACTTAGGGTCAAGGAATGGATAGGACATGCAGTAATAAGATATTAAAAATTATTTTGTATAAAGTGACATTTTTTTATATGGACTAATTGTTGTTTAATTAGTCTTGTACATAGTGTAAATAAAAGTATTTATTTATTACAAATCAGCTGTTTCAGATTGTTTGAAATTTGTAAATGTCACAATTTAAGCTTGATTTATACAGGAATTTTTTGACAGTAATGTGTTTAAGTACATGTATATCTGAATTCTTAGAAACAACAGGACTCCATTTAGATTTTAGGATTATTTTTTATTTATTGTATTAGAATTTTAAGATTGTTGCATTTTAACTCTGTTATGGCCAATTCTATTATTTTCTGAACATATTTTACTAGACATTTTAATTGCAACATGCACAGAACAAGTCTTAAAATCATTTATTCTTCATTATAAATTGTACATTTTACATGTATATCATTAAAACTCATAACAATGATTTTACATGCCCTGAAATATATGTAATACAATATTATCATAGCTACATATCTTTTTGTATGTATGAAGTATTTCTTAGATTTATTATGTTTTTCATGAATTTGTATCTGACATTTTCAATTTTTTATTTTATTTGCCAGGTCCATGTGTTTATTATGAATATTAACTTGTATATGTGATGTTCTTTCTAGAAGTAATAAAAATTTTAGACTTCAGAGGCATTAAGAGTTGCCTCCCTTAAAAATGGTGTTCTTTTTTTCCCCTTGTTCAATTGATTTAAAATTACTTGGTTTA